GATTTCGAGAAATCAATGTCATTGTGCGAATAGCCGGCGGCGACAAACTAAGTTCGACCACAGGTTTCCAGCGACAGCTATCTGTGGCTTTCCGCAACGACAATTCCAACACACACGCCTTGTTGGTGTCATTCGAAAAATTCAAACAATCTCCACATCTTAATACACCTCTCTGTAGAAATCTTTTTGATTTAGGAGATCCCATGTTGCCTCCAGCAGTATCTCCTGGATGGATCCGCTCGTTTAGCTACTGAAATGCTTTAAGTAGTTTGTCGTTAATCCATTTTATGCGTAGACACCAAGACCGCTTTGGGAACTATGCCTCAGGGCGCCGGGGGCTCTCGTTACAACGGCCTAACGTGATTTCCCGTACTCCGAGTGCAAAATTCTTTGATTACTCAGCTTAAGTGTTCACTAATGGCCTCTCGTGGCTTGGTGCGCCAATGGAATAAATCTGTGGATTGGGGGAGCTGCCCTTCGACTCCCGGGTGCGTCAACGATCCTAGTTTCCAGTTTCTTCCACCAATGGTGCTGAGCTGAATAGTATTTCCTTTCAGCTCTGTTGGTTTCATCACTTATCGGAAAGACAAGACAATAGACCAGAATAACCCAGTTGACACGTTCTAACCACGTTTGAGTAAGTTACCGCGATAGTTCGGGTGGAATGATTGAATGAAGACCATCTTGGGTCGCCTGAGCAATAATAAATTAAATTAAGCGCTTGATATGTTCATGAGATTTCAAATCGCACATGTCGCACGCGAATGACTTTGTAACTTAATGAAACAAGCACTCCAAAACACGGCGAAGAATTTTCCGCGTAGTTTTCTATGGACAGTATGCATCACGAGTGGTGATACGGTTTGCAAGTGATCTGGTTGTAACGTAATTAGGTGAAAACAAGCACTAACAATGTCTGTTCTAACAGAATGACGATGAGTACAAGAGTTGTGTGCAATTGATAAAGATAAATACACTGCGAGAAGCCAAAAAGTGAAGAATGGTTGACTTCCTGCTTCCTGCGCGCGCGAGTGTGTGTTGGGTCGAGTTGTATGCCTATTTATTGTGTGCAGTGTGAAGAGAGGGGTGTTTGGTGCTTGTACGAACATGAATACAACTTGACCTGATGTGGTTGAAGTTCGTAAGCCTGGCGCGTGACGCAGGCGGTAGCTGCGTAAACAAAAGTGGATGGGAAATTGTGGCGTACATGTTGTCAGCTAAGGCTACAAGTGGAACAGGAACTGTTACGTGATTTGAATGTCTGTGACGCGTGATCCAGTGAGTGACTGCTACAGGCTTACGCGAGTGGAGCATCAGTGGCGCCTTATTCCATCTGAGTGCTTCTTAATAGTGCTACTGGTCAGACGCTGGTGGCCGAGCGGTTAGGTGTTCAAACTACGGGCCGGCATGTCACGGATTTGAACTACTCTCGAGTTTCATGTACAAAGTTTCTCGGTCATTCAGCACTGACTGGTTTCAATTATAGGACGAAGTCTCACGCTACCAGCAATGAATTTTCGTCTGTATCGCTGTTAGGTTGCGACTTAGAAACAGTAGGCCACAGGCAACCAGCACTGGCGTCACAATTTGCCCCGGATTTTCAAAAGTAATCAAGCAGTTGTGCAGTTTCTTTGTTGTATCATACCGTGAAATGTTCTACTGAGTCGAGGTCAAAAATTTTTATATACCGGGAATTTCGCACCCTCACTTCAACCCGAATGACTGTTGTATTGTGCGGTGGCCGAGCTATTGGGCTACGCCTGCACTGAGCCGGCCAGACTACGCGATAGGGAGAAGACAGAGAACTGGGGACACGGCTGCATTGACAGGACAAAACATGCAGAGCGTCTGCGTAAATATATAGGATGACTAATTGGCCAAATATGGTCGTTCACTTGTTCGCTCCGTACAGCCAATGGTGGTGTTCCGGTCGTGAGCAGTCTCAGGCCCACTAAGCTGGTCGTGTGTTGCTAAGCCGTGTTTGGTGAGACCCGCCGACTCACCTAATTTCCGGACGCGTCTTACCGATGGTGACCTTGGGGATGCGTCACACTCTGCACATGTGCTTTTTCTTCTGTCTGGGCGCGTTCTGGCGGTTCTTCAACGAACTCATCTGCACTGTTGCGTCTAACTTCACCGATTATAGCGGGTGTTTGCCTGGAGTGTGTGGCAAAGAACTGAGAATAATAACGCTAGATTGGGTATACAATGATAAAGAGATCAAATGGGACAGACTCACTAATAATTGTTCTCTTTAAAATAGTTCGTCGTTGGTCCAGGTCGGTGAATAAACAATAATTCAATTATGTTGGTCCAGAGGTCTTCTTCTGAACAGTTCCCACATTCCGAAGGTGGTCTGAAATGTTTTGATGCCCGAGTTAGTACATGAGACTCGCGAGAGGCCGCTGTAAGCGCGAGCGAAATCAGAAGAGACAGTCGAAGCACGTGACCACGTTTGTATTCTGTGAAATTGTACAAGTGCGCGTTTTTGTAGTTTTTCGTATCCAAACAAAATACGAAATGTTATGGTGGAAGCAAAATAAAGATACAAAACAGGTAAGTTTGACAGAGTTAGCCCCAAATCTGTTTCACTGCATCGTGGCTCATGAGCTCGCCAGGAATCCGATCCAACGTGATCGCACTCTTACCAACTCCCCTGACCTGTCTCGTTGGGAGCTCCGCGTACTTGTTGCCTCTTCTGACCACTCCATTTTTGTACCTCGTCAGTGGGCTATCCCGCTTCGCATTTTTTTCATAGCATACACGTACAGGTTAATCCATAAACGTCACATTATTCCAGGTAGAATTGAGTTGTTGCGAACCCGGAAAGCAGAGACAGAAAGCTCACGTGCGTGGAAGGTGTGCTATTGTGAATTGTCCCAGTCAGCGAGAAGTAATGAAATGGAAGTCTGATGGCTTGTTCGACTTGATGAACCAAGTTCAAACCAAAGTCTCTTAGAGCGGTATCGATCCCAACAGTCGACAAATTATGGCTCTCGTGGCATACTTCTTCATCTGCACGACTTCTCTGATTTTTTCAGTATCTCCGTTTGCTCTGACTGTGACATACTTGCGAGGAGCATCGATCTGGTTATCATATGCTGCAAGTATTGCGTTAAAATGGGGTTCTGATTGGCTCCGTTTGCTTCGTGACCTCCGTGGTTGACTACGTCTTTGGCTAGCTTTCCGCGTTCGGCACTGGGTTTCCTTCTACCCACGTCGATTGCACACTGATGAACATTTGTGCTTTTTATACGGACACAATCGCACAGAATGCCATTCGCCGCAGTGCCAGCAGGCTGAAGGAGGCTTTGATCCATTCGACTTTGTCACCACAGGAGGTTGCTTCCATGTCGTCTTGGCGATGTTGAAAGCAGGGTTGGATAAGGGCTTCTCCAACATGGCCGTGTCGTGCTTAAGATTTAAAAGGTGCTGGCACTCATGAGTGATAGACTGCAGCGTTATTTCGGAAGTTTGCTCAGTCTTGCTCAATAGTCTCGCTCTGATATCACTGTCTGAATGCGACTGAAAACCACATATGAAAATAGGGCACTCGAACTGGTCTTCCGTCATGGTAGATAACTTGAATTGTTCGCATTCAAGGTTGACTCTACCGGCATAAGTGATGTAGTCCTCAGATTCCGTTTCCACCGGTTTCATACATTGGTAGCGAATATTAAACAAGGACGAACGCTCACCGAAAATCATTGAAAGTTGCTGCCCGGTTTTGTCAAAACTGACATCTCGCGTGTTCTTAGGCAGGATAAAGTTGGAATACCGTGTGTGTTCCGTTGTGCCAAGCTTTCTGAGCAATAACTGTACTCTGTAGGCATCATCTTTGTGCTTCAGTTCGACTTGGAAAACATCTTCTTAACGTCTGAACCACGAATCGAAGGTTAGGCCGGCATCAGGGTCATAATGGAACTCCGTGATGCTGTTGGCGATCGAGTCGACGGAATTTGTATCTGGAGCGGAATTTGGTGGTTGAATTTTAAGTTGCTGCGTCAATGTTTCCACCAAACGTATTTGCGCCATTTCAAACTGGTTTTGTTGTTGCAGCAGAATTTCTTTCAACGCTACAGCAGTTATTGTCATGAGACAGTGGGTTCGGACGTCGCCAGTCTTTTACATCTGCTGATTCCTCACTAGTTAGTTGTGTATGTAGCTAATAAGTTTCCGTTTGGTTTTCAGCACAAGATTGTATAATGGCAGTACCGTCCCTCCATTACCAGCAAAGATGGCATCCTTCAAGGTGCCCATCTTGAAGCAATCTCAGAATTATTAACTCCATTCTTCTATCCAAATTCTTCTATTTATATGCGTACCCAGCCGTCCTTACCATTTAGTGTGCAAGCTAGTATGCTAACATGTGAGTGGTCCTTTGAATATACTGTCGGATTCGGAGAGTCAACTTGACCTCGATAAGCTCTGCCTGAAGTCATCAACATTGCATGAAGTTGGTAGTCTGAGGAGATTTGGGATTTTTGTGGAGATTTCGTTCTGTAAGTCAAGCCAATCTATGCTGAAAAGCCGAGAAGCACTGTACAGCTGTTTCGTCCTTATTGGGAATCATCAGCAGTGCGCATCTCACGAAAATCCGAAGAGTAGAGAACCCGC